AACCCATCCAAATGCTTATATAGCCAATTGATCGCAACCAATTGGGGTATCATGCACAAATAACACATAGCCAAGCACATGCAACCCACATTAACACATAAAGAAGGGGAAATCATACATATATAACTTATGCGTGGTCAACCACATTACTAGAGATACGCATAAGGGGTTCATGCACCTTTCTCCTAGGCCAATGGGATACCAATTCGACTAGCATGCAATATACACGACTCTCTTATCCTACGAACGGTACCCGAAACATCAAACTAGACTCAGGCACGACAAACGGGGTCTAATGGGACACCACGGGACACGGGGAAACATCAAATGGGGAAAACCACCACGTTCCACACTGGAATTCCAGCGGGTGGCGGCGGGTGGATGGCCACCCGCCGGTGGCACATCACGAGGCAGAGGGTTACCGGCGGGCAGTCGCCTGCCCGCCAGCTGCCTGCTGCCAGGGGGTCCCATGGGGTAGCGGGTAGGTGGCGGGTTCCCCTGCCCCCACCTACCCCCCCACTGACTCTTATGTAATGATTCGGTCCCGGGATCCCTCGTGGAACCCGAAACCATGTCCAAACACACTTAAACACAAACGACGACACCACGTAATCAAGTAATGGATTAAAACCAAGAATCACATTAAGTACATCCTAACACGACTCCTAGACATGCCAAGACTCAATACCCGATAATTCAAAATCCCACCCAAACATACTAAGAATACAACAATACGAAATCCACGTTTTAACCCTATGGCTCTAGTCATATTTAAAACACAAGATCATTTATATAATTTATCTTAGAATCAAGAACATCAAGATTATCACATAAGTATCAAGATTACCATATAAACATCAAGATCATCTCATAAACATCAAGATTATCTCATAATCATCATATCAATCTCACAAAAAGCCTCATCAAGATGCAAACACAGAATCATATATCGAAGGAGCCAATGAAGGAGATTATAGCAAGGAAAATAGATTTTGTTGAGACATGGGTTACCTCTTAGCCTTAATTAATCCTCCCTTGGCTATTCAGGTTCTTCTCTAAGATTTCCATCTGATTGATCTCCCTAGGCTTGGTGGTGGGGAATCTCCCGGGAATATTTTCGTGTAATATAACTATGGGTGGTAAGGGTTCTAATTGCTTTCTAATCCCCTATTTATAGAATTAGGAATCCTAATCATAATCTTAATAATAAAGACCTACGTTCTAATTCCTAATAGGTCTAGGATTCCTTATTAGAATCTGACTAGTAAAATGTTTACTCTCTTTATTTCTAATAGGCTTAAGACTCTAGTTTAGGCAAGGGTCCACAATGTTGGAATACCATAAGAGATTCCTAGAGTTGGCTCGTTTCGCGCATGAATTAGTTCCTAAGGAGGCAACCAAAGTGGAGAAATTCGTTACAGGACTCAACTTCGAAGGTAGAAAAGCCTTGACGATGAATAAACCAAGATCACTCAACGAATCTTACACCAAGGCGGTTGAGCTCTATCGAATACAAAACACCTCTCGGGGAGTTCCCAAGGCGCACTAGAGAAAGGTCGAGGGAAACTCGATGACCACTCCTAAGAAATTGAGGACCGCCAGGGCCATTTGTAACACCCCGTGTTACGGCCTCTAACCCAAACTAATTATTTAATTACTTACCCTTAAAAGATAATTAAATTCCCTTAATTAATTAGGAAGGGTCCACCATAGACCATGGACCCTTATCCCTGAACCAAACCCTTAGTCCTATAAGAAATAGAATTAGTAAACCCATACCATTTAGATCCTAATTAGGACTCGTAGATATATATAAGGACATAGGAGGCACCTAGAATTCACACCACAATAGATTCCACCATACAAGAATTCCCAAGAATTTCGCTATCACCAAACGTAGGAGAAATCAAGAAGAGGAGATCTTAGAGAAAGAACCTTTATAGCCAAGGATTCTAATTAAGGCTAAGAGGGAACCCATGTATCAACAAAACCTATTTTCCTTGCTATAATCTTCTTCTTTGGCTCCTTTTGATATACAATTCTATGCTTGAGTCTTGATAAATCTTTTATGATGATTATGATATGATCTTGATGTTGATGACATGATCTTATGTGTTGATCTTGATAATCTTGATGATTATGAGAAGATGTTGATAATTGTGTGTCGTTCTTGATAAATCTTGATGTTCTTGATTTTAAAGATAAAGTATGATTTTGTGATTTAAATATGATTAGAGCCCTAGGTTAAATCGTGAATTTCGTACTGTGATATTCTTGGTATATTTGGGTGGGATTTCACATGATCGGGTGTTAATTATGTTTAGAACTCACGTTAGGATGTATTTGAATGTGATTCTTGGTTTTGATCCATTATTTGACTATGTGGTGTCGTCGTTTGTGTTTAAAAGTGTCTAAACATTGTTTCGGGTTCAACGAAAGATCCTGGGACCCAAGTATTGCAAAAGAGTCAGTGGGGGGTAGGTGGGGGTAAGGGAACCCACCAGCTACCCGCTGCCCATATGGGCGTCGCCGACAACCCGCTAGCCAGCAGTTCGCCGCCAGAGGGTGGTCCTCCACCCGCCGGCCACCCGCGGGAAATTCCCAATGTGGGATGGTGGTTTCCCTGTTTGATGTTTCCCTGACCCCTGAGGTGTCCCAACGGACCCCGTTTGTCGTGCCTGAGTCTAGTTTGATGTTTCGGGTACCATTCGTAGGATAAAAGAGCCTTGTGTATTGCATGCTAGATGAATTGGTATCCCGTTGGCCTAGGTGAAAGATGTATGAACCCCTTAGGACTATTCCTAGTATGTGGATGACCACGCATAAGTTTTATTTATACGTTCTTCCCTCCTTCCCAATGTGCTAATGTGGGTTGCATGTGCTTGCTATGTGTTATGTGTGCATGATACCCCAATTTGGTTGCGATCAAATTGGCTATACGGGTAGTTGGATGGGTTGAGAACCATCGGCTGTTAACCAGGCCGGTTGCGATCGGTCAGGTATATAAATATTATATCGGGTTGCGATCCATCGTTTGGTTGCGATCAAACGTTATACATGAGCTGCGGTTCATAATCTGGTTGCGATCAGAAATACACTTTTTGGGCTGCGGTCCACCGTTTGGTTGCGATCAAACGTTATGATGAGCTGCGGTTCATCGGTTGGTTGCGATCAACCCCTTCGTGCTGCGGTACCAGGCAGGGTGCTGCGGGGCCGTGTTAGCGCTATATGCGCTGACCCTCATGTATGGGCATGCGATTGGTCCTGTGGCACCACCAAAGTGTGCTTATGTGTTGAGATAATGATTGAATAATGATATGAATGATGTGAAATAAATCTTGTGACCTTAGGAAATATGCTAGTATCTTTATATGCATGATTATAACTGTTGAATGTGCTTGTCCCTACTTGTGGAGTCTATTCTAGGTTTTAAAGCTAGAGTCTCCTAAGTATATATCTTCCAGCTTCAAAATGGTTTTCCTATATATATATATATATATATATATATATATATATATATATATATATATATATATATATATATATATATATATACCTATATTGTATTTTAACTCGTTGGAGTGGGTTACCAGCATTATTCGCTGAACAGATATATTTGGCTTTTAGGCACAAATGAATAGCTCCGGAGCGCGCTAGAGGACCCAAGGCTTAGATAGTTAGGTTCCTTATCGGCCTGCGTGCCATGATGATGTAACGACACTGTTTTGAGGATATTTAGTTAGCATAGCCTGTGCATATGAGTTTTCCAGCTCAGATGTGGCTTAACACCCCAAACACTTATGTTTAGTAACGCTCTGTTTTGGGATTAATGATAGTATTGCCTTTATTTCATAAGTATTCAATGTTTTAAATTATAGGGGTGTTACACCATTCCTCATCAGGGTCAGGGGATATCAATGGCTCAGGACTCGAAAGATGAAACGGAAATCGCCCAAGGAAGGATTCTCGCCATGAGTAAAGCCCGAATCGGAGACAGTGACGTGGTGACCGAGACGTTCCTTGTGCACTCCATACCCGCCATAGTGCTCTTTGACTCAGGAGCCACCAACTCGTTCATAGCAGTCGAATTCGTAGCAAGGCTCGGTTTGAAGCCAGGCACAAGTGTACAGTTAAGGGTCAAAGTGGCATTAGGTGAAGTATTGAAATGTGACCGTATGTTCAAGGACGTGATGATCACCATAGGCAGAGTGGAATTTCCTAGCAACCTGATTCAGTTTGGGGGCTGGACGGTATAGAAGTAATCCTAGGGATGGATTGGCTAGGGAAATTCAAAGCCCAAATACTGTGCGGCGAACAAAAGATAATTTTGAAAAGGCCAAATGGGAAGCGGGTATCCTACCGCGGCTCCGCCAAAGATCCAGAAGTTAAATTGGTAACCATGATGAAAATGAAGAAATACTTAACTAAAGGATGTGAGGTTTTCCTGTGCTCCATCGAGGATGTAAATGCCAAGGGTGACGAACCGCAACCAATCCCGGTAGTAAGCGAATTCACAGATGTTTTCCCCGAAGAGATTCCTGGAATACCACCACCTAGGGAACTGGAATTTACTGTGGACCTAGTGTCAGGCACCGCCCCCATATCAAAGACACCTTATAGAATGGAACCGAAAGAGATGCAAGAATTGAAGACACAATTACAAGACATGTTAAGTAAAGGCTACATCCGCCCTAGCACCTCGTTATGGTGAACCCTAGTGCTATTCGTTAAGAAGAAAGAAGGGAGCATGCAGCTGTGCATTGACTATAGGGAATTAAATCAAGTTACAGTGAAGAACAAATATCCCCTCCCTCGAATAGATGATTTGTTTGACCAACTCAAAGGTGCAGGTGTGTTTTCGAAAATCGACTTGAGGTCTGGATATCATCAAATAAAGGTAGCCGATCAGGACGTCCCTAAGACCACTTTCCGAACTCGCTACGGTCACTACGAGTTCACGGTAATGCCCTTCGGATTGACTAATGCCCCCCGCAGTATTCATGGACCTCATGAACAATGTGTTTTGCCCCTACTTGGACGACTTTGTGATTGTGTTCATTGACGACATCTTGGTCTACTCCCGAAATAAGGAGGAACATGAGAAACATCTCCGAACCATATTACAAACGCTAAGAGAAAAGCAGTTGTATGCCAAACTCTCTAAATGCAAATTCTGGAAGGACAATGTAGCATTCCTGGGCCACGTAATAACCAAGGAGGGAATCATGGTGGACCCAGCGAAGATCCAAGCGATCAAGGAATGGCCTACACCAACAACAGTTTCAGAAATTAGGAGCTTCCTCGAGTTGGCTGGATATTATCGGAGATTCGTACCTGATTTTACTAAGGTGGCTCAACCCATGATGAGACTCATGAAAAAGGAAATTTCCTTCCAGTGGGACACAAGTTGTGCCTTGGCCTTCCAGGGGCTAAAGGAAAGGTACCATAGCACCGGTATTGGCGCTACCCTCTGGAGTAGAAGGATTTGAAGTTTACAGTGATGCCTCAAAGAAAGGTCTAGGTTGCGTACTGATGCAAAATAATAAATTAATAGCGTACGCATCCAGGCAACTCAAAACCCACGAGGTGAATTACCCCACCCACGATCTAGAATTGGCATCCATAGTATTTGCGCTGAAAATCTGGAGGCACTATTTGTATGGGGTACAATGCAAGATCTACACAGACCATAAGAGCCTAAAGTACATTTTCACCCAGAAGGACTTAAACATGCAACAGAGACGGTGGTTGGAACTTAAAAAGGATTATGATTTGGATATCTAATACCAAGAAGGAAAAGCTAACGTGGTGGCAGATGCACTAAGTAGGAAAACGAGCCATTCCCTTAACACCATGTGGGTATTTTCGGATGAGCTATGTAAGGATTTTCGGAAATTGAATCTAGAAGTAGTGGAGCAGGGACAAGTGGATGTGGAAATTCAGTTATTCAGCATGAGGATCATGCCAACATTATTTGAAGAAATCAAGAACGGACAACGACAAGACCCCAAACTAGGAAAGATAACGCTCGGCCTAACCGAAGGAAAGAAAGGGTCATTCGAGCTGTTTAATGATGGTAGCCTTCGCTATAAAGGAAGGTGGTGCATACCCTCGACACATGCCGACCTGAAGAAACAAATCCTAGAAGAAGGACACGGCTCACCATACTCCGTGCACCCCGGGGGTAATAAATTGTACCAAGACGTGAAGAGATAATTTTGGTGGCGTAACATGAAAGGGGAAGTAACAGGTTTTGTAAGCAAGTGCCTAAATTGTCAGAAAGTGAAAGATGAAAGGTGTAAACCCAAGGGGCTCATGCAACCCCTCGAAGCACCCCAAGGAAAGTGGGAGTCCATCTCGATGGACTTTGTGAGAGATCTACCCGTGACACGGACATGAAAAGACAAAATATGGGTGATAGTAGACCGGTTGACCAAAACGGCGCGGTTTATTGCCATGAAGGAGACTTGGACAATGAACCAATTGGCCAAGGCCTATATAAGTCAAGTAGTCAAATACCATGGGGTCCCACGAGACATCGTTTCTGACAGAGACTCCAGGTTCCTCTCATAGTTTTGGAAATCACTACAAGCAGCCATGGAGACAAGACTAAAGCTAAGCACCGCTTTTCACCCCACAACCGACGGCTAGACCGAGAGAACAATTCAGACCCTTGAAGATATGTTGAGGGCCTGCATGTTGGACTTCCAGGGAACATGTGAAGAACATTTAGATCTGATCTAATTCTCTTACAACAATAGCTACCACGCAAGTATTCGTATGGCACCCTACGAGGCCTTATATGGTCAAAAGTGTAGGACCCCCTTATGTTGGGAGGACATGGTTAACCCAGTGGCTCTAGGACCACAATATTTTCAAGACACCATAGCAAAGATCAAACACATACAAGAGAAAATAAAGGTCGTGCAAGACCGCCAGAAGTCCTACGCCGATTTGGGAAGGAAACATGCCGAATTCCAAGTGGGAGAAAAGGTTTGGTTGAAGATCTCACCCACACGAGGAGTAATGAGGTTTGAAAAGAAAGGGAAACTAAGCCCTAGATTCATCGGTCCCTACAAAATCTTAGAAAGAATCAGGAATCTGGCATACCGCCTCGCATTGCCAGCCGAATTCGACCAGGTACACAACGTATTCACGTGTCGCAACTAAAGAAATACGTGCACGACGCAACCCATGTCCTCCAACCTGAGGTAGTGTGCTTGGATGACACCTTATCCTATGAAGAAAGACCCGTGAGAATCCTAGATACGAAGACAAGATAAACCCGCAGGAAGACCATGAAGATGGTCAAGGTCCTCTGGTCCAACCATGAGACCGAAGAAGCAACTTGGGAGCTTGAAAGTGCAAAGAGGGAACAATACCCCAACTTGTTCACCCAAGGTACCCTAGCTTAAAACCTAAGATGTGTATCATAGAATAAGTCTCGTTACGTCTAAGCTTCGGGGACGAAGCTTCTTGTAAGGGGGGAGGGTGTAACACCCCGTGTTACGACCTTCAAATCCGGATTAATTATGGAATTAATCCCATTAACAAATAGTTAAAAAGTATTTAATTTGGTTATAATCCCCTTATTTAATAAATGTGGTCCACAATGGATCGTGAAACCTTGCCTGAACTAGAGACTTAGGCCTGTTAGGAATAAAGAAAGTGGGCCTTACCATTCAGATTACAGATAGGATTTCCTAAACATATAAATAGGAGATTAGAAAGCATTTAGAACCTCTATCTCTCACCTCTCATAACTCTAATACATGAATTGCCCAAGACACCTGGCCAAAGGAATTCCTCCACCACCAAGTCTAGGGAGATCAATCGGAGGGAAATCTTGGAAAAGAACCTTAATAGCCAATGGAGGATTAATTAAGGCTAAGAGGTAACTCGTGTCTTACAAAACCTACTTTCCTTGTTATCTTTTATTGATTGGCTCCGTTGAATGATTGAATGTATGATTTTTGCATTTGTGCTTTGTTGGAGATTGTCTTTAGGAATTTGTGATATGGATTATTGTTATTCTTGATATTCTTGATGGCCCTGTGTGGTCTTGGTATGCTATTGTATTTAATTATGTTTAGAGCTTGTCCTTAGGGTTTATATTTTAAATCTTGTTGTTGTGATGTTCTTGGTGTTCTTGGGTGGGTTTATGCATGCTCGGGTGTTGATTCAAGGTTAGGGCTTGTTTTCGAGCTTTCATATAGATTTCTTGATGATATTGAGGTTCTTGATGCTCTTGACCGTTATGTGTTTAGTCTCGAGTCTTGGCATGTCTAGGGATTGTGTTTAGGGTTAATTGTGGTGTTTCTTGGTTTAATTCTTGTTGTTCGAGTCCATATTGTTGTTGATATGTATTAGAATGTGTTTGGACTTGATTTTGGGTTTAATTGATGAATTCCCGAAAGGGAAAAGTGCTAAGTTACCATCGTACCGGTAGGGGGTCGGTTGGGGGACGAACCCCCACCTGACCAACTGTCGGTCACCACCCACTATAACAGTAGGTGGATGGCGGGTGGACGACCACCCGACGTGTACGTGCTGGTACAGTACCTCCCACCGGCAGCTGGACGGCGGGTGGTTGACCACCCGCTGGTACGGGCGGGGCGGGGTACTGTTTTACCCTGTTTGTTGTTTCCCCGTGCCTCGTTGTGCCCTGTTTGGTGTTTATGAGTCTCGTGTGATGTTTCGGGTACCGTTTTAAGAGTTGTGTGTCGTGGTTATTGTTGTTGTTGAGCTTTGATTGTTGTTGTTGTTGTTGAGGATTGACTACTGTTGTTGATTGAGTGTTGTTGGTTGCTATTATCACTAAGTATTGGTTGTTTTGATTGATTTGTCCATAATGAGAAAAGAGATGCGATTGGTGGAAAAGATTTGTTGGCGGTGTAGCACAACGAGTGATCGGTCATTGTGCTATAGGCACAAACCACCCTTGATTAGTTTGCTAAAGACATAGATCAAGTTATTAAGCGTTGCGGTGCCTTGTCATGTGCTATAAGCACTGACCCCTTGATTATAGTGCTATAGGCACGGGTCATGCGAATGGTACTACGATGCTACCATGTCGGTGGTTTTGTTGGTGGTATGTCGGTGGGAAGCATGCTTGCTCCGAAGGGATATGTGATGCATTATAAGGGGTGGCCTGGAGGTACAGGTTGGAACTGATATAATGATGGAGAGGAATAAAGGTTGGAACTTGGTATAAGGTTGGATCATGGATGTACACCCTGTTGACTGCTTGTTGTTATTGATTGTTGTTGAACCCCATTGTTGTCGTTGTTTGTTATTATTGAGCTTTGTTATTACCTTATCGTGCGAGCTTAGGATGCATGCTAGTATCTTTATGGCGTTCATAGTGTCAATTTGTTGTTGTGTCTTGAGTCTTGATCTTAGTTTTAAAGCTAGCGTTGCTTAGGATTATTTATGTATTCCAGTCTCAAAATGATTTCCTATACTTATACTTATTGTACTCCACGGGTAGGAGTGGGTTACTCAGCATTATTCGCTGACGGTTGTTACACCATATGTTTTTCAGGTTCAGATCAGTAGCTTCGGAGTGCGCTAGACGAATGCAAGGACTTAGTTTAGATTGTTTTAGTCTTGGTAGATGGCCTACGTGCCTTGACTTGTAATTTGGATATTGAACTTGAATTATGTTCTGTTTGGTTAGTTAGCATGTGCATCTAAATTCTCAAGCTTGGATGTGGCATAACACCCCGACTTTTATTGTGTAGTCTCTGCTTTGTTTGGAACATTAATGTTAGATTGCCTTTATTTCATAAGATTAAAAGTTTTAAAAATTAGGGGTGTTACATATGAATTGTCAAATTAGTATTTGAGTTAACTTCATACATATCTTGTGTCTGTCCCCTTATACCTTTTTGTTGGGAGTTTGCTCCTAGCATTTTATACAATGCTAAGGTCTACTCCGCAATTTTCTCTCCCATTGCACCTTCAGCCGCATTATCAACTATTGATTAGCTGGTTTGTGTCAAACCGTCATAGAAGGTTTGATTTCGCAGTTCCAATGGGTAGCCGTGGTGGGGGCATTGAATGACTAACATTTTGAACCTTTCCCATGCATCATGAAATGGTTCGCCTTCAGCTTGCGAGAAAGTCGCAATTTTTCTTCTTAATTCAGCAGTTTTAGCATGGGAATAGAATTTACCTATGAACTTATTGTACACCTGTGGCCAAGTCCGAAGGGACCGTAGTGTGAGAGACTTGAACCATGTCTTTGCTGCATCTTTCAAGGTGTATGGGAAACACCCCATCCTCAGTTCATCCCTCGTCAGGTCATTCAACGGAAAGTTTTGGACTATCCTGTAGAAATCCCTGATGAAGGTTAGGGCATCCTCGCTTACTAAACCGTGAAAAGACGACAATTGGTTGTAGTGGACCGTCTTTAGCTCATAGTTCCTGCCTACATTGGTAAGCACTATACAATAAGGTGAAGTTCCTACTTGGGGCCAACCAAAGT